TAGACTAGACTATAGACTAGACTATAGACTAGACTATAGACTAGACTAGACTAGGCTATAGAATAGACTATAGACTAGACTATAGACTAGACTATATACTAGGCTATAGACTACACTATTGACTACACTATAGACTAGACTATAGACTAGACTATAGACTACGCTATAGACTAGACTATAGACTACACTATAGACTAGACTATAGACTAGACTGTAGACTACACTATAGACTAGGCTATAGGCTAGACTATAGACTAGACTATAGACTAGACTATAGACTGGACTATAGACTAGACTGTAGACTAGACTATATACTAGACTATAGACTAGACTATAGACTAAACTATAGACTAGACTGTAGACTAGACTATGAACTACACTATAGACTACACTATAGACTACACTATAGACTACACTATAGACTAGACTATAGACTAGACTATAGACTAGACTATAGGCTAGACTATAGACTAGACTATACACTAGACTGGACTATAGGCTAGACTATAGACTAGACTATACACTAGACTGGACTATAGACTACACTATAGACTAGAATATAGACTAGCATATAGTCTACACTATAGACTAGACTATAGACTACGCTATAGACTAGACTATAGACTAGACTGTAGACTACACTATAGACTAGACTATAGGCTAGACTATAGACTAGACTATAGACTAGACTATAGACTATACTATAGACTAGACTGTACACTAAACTATAGACTAGACTATAGGCCAGCTTGTGGACTAGACTGTAGACTATTAACTCGTATATCTCGACTATAGCATGGAGTACAGTATTGTTTTTTAGAATTTCGTCCATAGTCTTACCTAGAGTCTTGCCTATAAAAGTTTCCTTGATATAACAAATTCAATAAAGAGTTAAAATGTATTTATGGATATTAATTAATCCCCAATTCTTAAGCTGGCAATTAAATTAAAAATGCTATAATCAATTAATAAGTATTAATATTTAGATAAATAGTACGTTTTCCAAAAAAAATCTCCAAATAATGACAAGAGTATTAATCAAAACAAATACCAAATTCTGAGGAAAACATACAAAAAGTGTCCACCTAAAGCAACAACAATACAAAAAATTACTTAACAAATATATTTAATAAGATAAAAAGAGAAAAAAGAACTAATCATTACATACAACTTTTTTTAGCCCAAAATAATTTTCGATTAAAGGGAGGGGCATTTGAACTAAATGATGAGGTTGACTTTGATGCAAAATAACATAAAACAACAACAAGACAAATGAAACCATTGATGTGACAAATAGGTAGAGTGATGATGATGAAACAGTAAAAGAGAAATCAAAACAAATGAGGGTTGATTTTTACTACTTTTTTTTTCTTTGCTGTTATCAGGTATTTAACAATAACAACATAAACAGCAACAACAACAACAACAACAACACACAAGTAAAGGCAAAACAAACTCATGGAAATAAATGCAGGAGTGAATGAGTGAGTAACAAGGATTCATGTAATATTATAAGAGAGAAAGAGAGCAAATATTCTTTAGGGATGTAGTTGTTTTTATTATTATGGCTGTAAGAGTGTTTGTTGTATGGCTTAATGCAGTTTTGTTAGTGTATATTAGAATGTGTGTATTTTTACAAAGGGAATGGAGGGGGGAGGGTTTTTGTTATTTTTTTGTTAGTTTGAGGGTTGTTGGTTGCTGCTGTTGACACTCGTTTGATTTGTATATTTTGTTTGGGGTTTTGAAGTCTTTTTTCGCTGTAAAAAGCTGATTTCGTTACAAAAATTTTTTTTTTTCATTTTTTTGTTCGTCTATTTAAATTATTATTTTTTGTAGAGAAAATTATGAATTCTTTGATTTTCTTTTTTGTTTTCTTTGTACAATTTTGTTTAGTTTTCTGCTTTTTGAATTGTTTTCTTTTAATGATATGATTTGAATTTGGGGTCATACTTATGTTAATATGATTATTAATTGCAAAAAGAGATTTTTTCTATAAAAATAAATAAATAATTATTAATATTTTAAGTTACATCAAACTTTATCAAAACTTTACTATAGGTCTTGACTATAGTTCTGATTGTGGTTTCGTTTACAGTCCTTACTATAGTATCGTTATAGTCCTTACTAGACTATAGACTAAACTTGACTATAGACTAGACTATAGACTAGACTATAGAATATGCTATAGAATAGACTATACACTAGACTATAGACTAAACTATAGTTTAGACTATAGACTAAACTACAGACTTGACTATAGACTAGACTATAGACTTGACTAACTAGACTATAGACTAAACTAAACTATAGACTAAAATATAGACTAGACTAAATACTTGACTATAGACTACGTTATAGACTAAACTATAGAATAGACTATAGACTAGACTAGACTATAGAATAGACTATAGACTAGACTATAGACTAGACTGTAGACTAGACTATACACTAGACTGTAGACTAGACTGTAGACTAGACTGTAGACTAGACTGTAGACTAGACTGTAGACTAGACTGTAGACTAGACTATAGACTAGACTATAGACTAGACTTTAGACTAGACTATAGACTAGACTATAGACTAGACTATAGACTAGACTATAGACTAGACTATAGACTAGACTATAGACTAGACTATAGACTATACTATAGACTTGACTATAGACTTGACTAAAGATTAGAATTTAGACTAGACTATAAACTTGACTATAGACTAAACTATAGATTAAACTTAGACTTGACTATAGACTAGACTATAGACTTGACTATAGACTAGACTATAGACTTGACTATAGACTAGACTATAGACTAGACTATAGACTAGACTATAGACTAGACTATAGACTAGACTATAGACTAAACTATAGACTAGACTATAGACTAGACTAGACTATAGACTAGACTATAGACTAGACTATAGACTAGACTATAGACTAAACTATAGACTAAACTATAGACTAGACTATAGACTAAACTATAGACTAGACTATAGACTAAACTATAGACTAGACTATAGACTTGACTATAGACTAGACTATAGACTAGACTATAGACTAGACTATAGACTAGACTATAGACTAGACTATAGACTAGACTGTAGACTAGACTATAGACTAGAATATAGACTAGACTATAGACTATACTATATACTAGACTATAGACTAGATATATATTGTCACCTAGTCTAAATTGACTGATCAGTAATAAAACGCTAAAATACTACCTTATCAAAATACAACTTTAGTAGGAGGGAATTTTCAAACTGTAATAGAATTGAGAAGCCAACTTCTCGACAATTCAAGAAATGTCAAAACATTATAGTACGTCATTCCTAATGACTAACTCTGTACTATAAATTCTGTAAAACAAATTGTTTTCTTATAATTACTATATTAATAGCATTTGTTATCATATTATTAGCAGTAAACATTTCTGAACCAAAATTTATTGTTGAACTATCAAATAAAAAATCTAAAAAAATAATTTTATTAGAAATGCGAGATTTTGCCTACAATTTCAAAGTGAGTAAAATTATAGTAAATTATATATTTAGACACACAAATGAATAATTCAGCGTTATCAGTTGTAAAATTTTTATACACAACTTTTGAATTATAAAAATCCTACAGCAAGCAATTTGTTTTTTAAAAAATTGCGAAAAATCGAAAATGTTAGATAAGACGATTCTATTCTTAGAGTTCAACGTTAGGAATGTTCTAAATAAAACGAATTATATTTTATAAAAATTTCAGCTTAACTTTTGATTTTATGCACTATTTAGTGAATGAACCTCAGTTTAACTGAAATTAAAAATTCAATAATTTCGTTTTTTTCAAAAATTCCTAAAAAATCGGAAGAAATTAATAATTTGATTCTTTTTCTAGGACATAAATTTAAATGTGCTGCAAATAAAATAAATTTTAATTTGCCAAGATCCGTATAGAAATAACGATTTTATTCATAGTTAAATGTCAATACCTTATAACCAAAGAAAAGCAAAATTGAAAATTTTTTGTATTTCAAAAATTTTCGAAAATTCGAAAACCTTATAGTGAGTCGATTCTATTCTTAGAGTTCAACGTTAGGAATGTTCTAAATAAAATGAGTTATACCTTATATAAATCCAAGTTATACTTTTGATTTTATGCACTTTTTAGTGAGAAAACCTCAGTTTAACAGAAATTAAAAATTCAATAATTTCGTTTTTTCAAAAATTTATAAAAAATCTGAAGAAATTAATAATTTGATTATTTTTCTAGGACATAAAGTCAAATGTGCTGCAAATGAAATAAATTTTAATTTGCAAAGATCCGTATGGAAATAATGATTTTATTCATAGTTAAGTGTCAATACCTTATAACCAAAGAAAAGCAAAATTGAAAATTTTTTGTGTTTCAAAAATTTGCGAAAATTCGAAAACCTTATAGTGAGTTGATTCTATTCTTGGAGCTTAACGCTAGGAATGTTCTAAATAAAATGAGTTATACTTTATATAAATCCAAGTTAAACTTTTGATTTTATGCACTTTTTAGTGAGAAAACCTCAGTTAAACAGAAATGAAAAATTGAATAATTTCGTTTTTTCAAAAATTCATAAAAAATCGAATAAGGTCAATAATTTGATTCTTTTTCTCTGGCATAAAGCTAAATGTGTTGCGAATAAAATAAGTTATAGGTTATAAAAATCCGTGTAGAAATAATGATTTTATTCATAGTTAAGCGTTAATACCTTATAACCACAAAAAAGCAAATTTGAAAATTTTTTGTGTTTCAAAAATTCGCAAAAAAATCTAAAATCCCTAAAAATTTTTAATGTTATTCTATGTTAAATTAAACTCATAGCTCATTTTAAATTCGACCCTTATCATTTTTCAAAATATTTTTTTCTACTCATTAAAAAACGAAAGTCTCTCAATTAGTAAAATGATTAGAAAAAAATCATTCTAAAAAAATTAAAACAAATTACAAACTTATCAATCTAAACGTTTTAGTTTGTAATTAAATAGGTTTGTGTAGAGTTTAAAATTTTCTGCGTAAAAATTAGTTTGATTTTATAATACAAAAATAATGAAATTTAGTAAAATAATTGTTCTAATTACTATCGTAATATTAAGCATGTTTAAACCTGGTCAAGGCAAAAGTGATGGCAAAAATTTGGTATATAAAGGTAATCTTCTTTCATTGCCATTCAATCTAGAACCTTTTTTATAAAACTTTCTTTACTTTCAGATTTCCCCAGATCTTTTAAGAACTTTTCGAGAGAAAAGAATCTAGAAAGTCGACCCTATCGCAACACAAAGCCACAGGAAGCTGTTAATAACAACAACTACCTTCTACCTCCCGTTATAAAAGATTTTACAGGGGAACATAATTTCAAATCAACAAATACCAAAACAAACATCTATGATTTAGCCCAGAAACTTTCTTTCAACAAAAACCCTTTAAAATTATCAAAATCCCCGACTCTTGAAACATCCCACAGCAAGGAAAACAATATTCCCTATAAAACTATCAATTCTCAAAAAGTCTATTGTCGTCAGATAATGAAAAGTGACCTGAATACCCAAGGCAATATAATCGATAGTGTACAGCATATTTGTGATCCTCTGCCTTTACAAACAACATCAGTTAAAACTACATTTAGACAGAACCTAAAAACTACCACTTCCCCATTTTCCACAACAATTTATGCCGCCAAGGAAAAACGTTTTGAACGCTTGGTAACCTCTACACCAGCTAGAGGTTACAATTGTCGTCGTGTTATGAACAGTGAACTTAATGAGCGAGGAGAAATTGTCGATTCTGTTACGGAGGTATGTGATCCTCCCACCACTACAACTACTACGACACGGAAGCCAACAATGACTACCACAACTAAAGCTACCACCACTACGCCAAAACCATTGGTTAAGGTCTGTCGTCCCGTTATGAATAGTTATCTAAGTGAGGAAGGCGAAATAATAGATTCGGTGACGATGGTTTGTAATATGGAAAAGGTGGATTGAATAAATGTAAATTTTTATATAGAAAGTTATGGTTTGAATAATTTTTTTAAGAAAATTTATAAAAAGAGGTATGTAGTAAGAATTGACCCTAGTCTCCAAATGCTAACCATTTTAGTTCAAGTTCAGTTATAGCTTATCTCTAGTTCAGCTATAGTTCTGTTCTCGCATAGTTCTAGTTCAGTTCTAGTTCAGTTCTAGTTCAGTTCTAGTTCAGTTCTAGTTCAGTTCTAGTTCAGTTCTAGTTCAGTTTTAGTTCAGTTCTAGTTCAGTTCTAGTTCAGTTCTAGTTCAGTTCTAGTTCAGTTCTAGTTCAGTTCTAGTTCAGTTCTAGTTCAGTTCTAGTTCAGTTCTAGTTCTAGTTCAGTTCTAGTTCAGTTCTAGTTCAGTTCTAATTCTAGTTGAGTTCTAGTTCAATTCAAGTTCAGTTCTAATTCAGTTCTAGTTTAGTTCTAGTTCAGTTCTAGTTCAGTTCTAGTCCAATTCAAGTTCAGTTCAAATTCAGTTCTAATACAGTTCTAGTTCAGTTGTAGTTCAGTTCTAGTTCACTTCTACTTCAGTTCTAGTTCACTTCTAGTTCTGATCTGTTCTAACTAACTAACTAACTAACTAACTAACTAACTAACTAACTAACTACTACTAACTAACTACTAACTAACTAACTACTAACTAACTAACTAACTAACTAACTAACTAACTAACTAACTAACTAACTAACTAACTAACTAACTAACTAACTAACTAACTAACTAACTAACTACTAACTAACTAACTAACTAACTAACTAACTAACTAACTAACTAACTAACTAACTAACTAACTAACTAACTAACTAACTAACTAACTAACTAACTAACTAACTAACTAACTACTAACTAACTAACTAACTAACTAACTAACTAACTAACTACTAACTAACTAACTAACTAACTACTAACTAACTAACTAACTAACTAACTAACTAACTAACTACTAACTAACTAACTAACTAACTAACTAACTAACTAACTAACTAACTAACTAACTAACTAACTAACTAACTAACTAACTAACTAACTAACTAACTAACTAACTAACTAACTAACTAACTAACTAACTAACTAACTAACTAACTAACTAACTAACTAACTAACTAACTAACTAACTAACTAACTAACTAACTAACTAACTAACTACTAACTAACTAACTAACTAACTAACTAACTAACTAACTAACTAACTAACTACTAACTAACTAACTAACTAACTAACTAACTAACTAACTAACTAACTAACTAACTAACTAACTAACTAACTAACTAACTAACTACTAACTAACTAACTAACTAACTAACTACTAACTAACTAACTAACTAACTAACTAACTAACTAACTAACTAACTAACTAACTAACTACTAACTAACTAACTAACTAACTAACTAACTAACTACTAACTAACTAACTAACTAACTAACTAACTAACTAACTAACTAACTAACTAACTAACTAACTACTAACTAACTAACTAACTAACTAACTAACTAACTAACTAACTAACTAACTAACTAACTAACTAACTAACTAACTAACTAACTAACTAACTACTAACTAACTAACTAACTAACTAACTAACTAACTAACTAACTAACTAACTAACTAACTAACTAACTAACTACTAACTAACTAACTAACTACTAACTAACTAACTAACTAACTAACTACTAACTAACTAACTAACTACTAACTAACTAACTAACTAACTAACTAACTAACTAACTAACTAACTAACTAACTAACTACTAACTAACTAACTAACTAACTAACTACTAACTAACTAACTAACTAACTAACTACTAACTAACTAACTAACTAACTAACTAACTACTACTACTACTAACTAACTAACTAACTAACTAACTAACTACTAACTAACTAACTAACTACTAACTAACTAACTAACTAACTAACTAACTAACTACTAACTACTACTAACACTAACTAACTAACTAACTAACTAACTAACTAACTACTAACTAACTAACTAACTAACTAACTAACACTAACTAACTAACTAAGTAACTAACTCGCTGGAAGCTAAGCTGGAACTATTCAAAGCTCTTAATCTGCACAAAGCTTTAACTGTAGCTTTTATAATAAAGCTCTTTTATTACAATAGATCTTTTTTACACAACATTCTAAGTTTAGCTTTGATAATGAAGCTCTGCTTCTAAATAATTCCCTCCCATTTGTTTTTCAAAAAAAGACCACATACCCTAATGAACAATAACAATGGTTCAAAGTTTAAACGTTTGCATACTTTGATGTCTGATATTTAACATTTTCAACACATTATTATTTAGCAGAAACCGTTAACAAATTTACAAATTCAACACAAAGGAAAAATATTATAATTTTTTAATGAATCTCAAAATTGTGTTTAATGAAAGTAACGGTTAAGAGAATACAATGGCAGGGCAAGAAGAAATGTAGCTATAATTTGAATATCAAAAGATTTGAAAAAATTAAAATCTTTGAAAAATAGAAAGAAAAAAAAAACTTAAAATGAATTTGCAGTGAAGCGAAAATTTTAAAAGAAATAAAATAAAACAAGAAAGAAAAACAAGAAAGAAATAAGGGAAGTTAAAGCAAACCTAACAAACATAGGCAACTGATACTTGAGTTTTTCTTTTTCTTGATGTGGGCAACAAGTATGAGTATGAGCAGCAATGCGCACTGTTGCATTTAGACAATAAAGTTGGCCATATTTGGAAGCCATGCTGTTTGTTGCAGTTAAAGCTTTTGTTTTATGAGTTTATTATAATTTTCAAGTGTCTTTCTTTATTTTTTCTTGAATATTTTCCTGCATAATTTAATTATAGGTTTTTAAAAACATACTTGTTTTAGCACTGACGTTTGGCAGCCATTTTAATTGTTGCAACTTGACGGATTTGGTTTCCATAAAAAAACCATTTTATTTATAATTTTTAAAAAGCCACCTGCTGTTTTAATGATGATGTTGCTTATGTATTTTGTTATTATTTCCCAAATGGCGCTTCTGTTCTTTTCGTCAAAAGCTCTTGAGACACACATGTCCTCACTCCGGTTTTTTTTTAATGTTTGAGAAATTCTTTTGAATTATGGAACAAATCATTCACTGATAATACCCCTTAGGACTTGTTTATGCATTTTGCTTAATATGACAAGTAAGTAAAAAAGTACCCGCATTTAGTAAAATTGATTTTTAAAAGTGAAGATTTTTAATTTCAAATATTTAATGATATTGCTTCATTGCAAAAACCCCGCTGTTTGCAATTGCACAAAAAAAAATCATCTACTTATCACGACATGTGCTGAACTATGACATCTTAACCCTTTCCCTTTGATTTGATAAGAGTAAGTTTTTCAATATAAAATGTTGCAATCGTCTTTGTAATCTCTCACTTAAGCTGTAAACTTAAAGCTTTATATACTCTTAACTTTATTACAATCAAAAAGCTTAATTTAAGCACAGCTTAGCTTTAACTTAGGAGCTGTCATAAAGCTTTATATATGTACATAATTCCAATTCATTTCCTTGACAAAGCTTAACACGTTTTGCTAGCTTCTAAATATATGCTTTATTATAAAGCTCTATAATTTCAGCAGAACTTTGAGTATTAACGATCTAATGATAAAGCTAAATTTAATATAAATAATGTTAAAGCTTGAAGCTGTATGTATATACATACTCTAAGCTTTTTGTAATCACAAAGTTTAGCTTAAACTTGAAAAGTTATCATAAGACTTTATAAGAAATAAAAAAGCTTTATATATTCCCAGCTTAGTTGTCAACTTATAGCTTTATACATGCTCAGCTTTATAAAAATCTCAAAGCTTCAAACTTATCATCAAATTTAAAGCTTTATAAACAAACAGAAAAATTTAATGTAATTGTAGTTTAGATTTAAAAGCTTTATATAATTCCAACTTGTTTCATGGACAAAAGCATTTTGTTAAGTTTAGCTTCTAAATAAGAGTTTTATCATAATGCTTTATCTACAGCCATAGAACTTTCCTGTTCATTTTCAACCCGTAAGTTTTATAATTTCAGCTGAACTGATAGTACTCAAGTTCTAAGGATAAAGCTTCATTTAATGTAAATAAAGTTATAGGATTAAAGCTTAATATAATTGTCTCATTTTAGCATAAATTTTAGAGCTTTATAAAAGCTTAATACCCTGTCATAAATAAATATCCCTATTTTAGTTGCAACTTTTTATTTTAATAAAGCTTAACACTTCAAAATTAGAACTTTTTCATAAAGCTTTCCTCACAACCATAGAACTTTTTATATTTACTCTTTAATTATAAGCTTTATGGTTGAAGCTTAACTGAAAGTATTAAGGTTCAAAGCTTAAAACGTTTTTCTAATTTTAGCTTCTAAATTAGAGTTTTATCGTAAAGCTTTATATACAGCCATAAAGTATTCCTGTTGCATTTAAATCTCTATAATTTTATGTTGATCACGTTCTAAGATTAGAGCTTAAAGCTTAGTATAATAATTTAAGAGATTTATACACTGTCATAAAGTTTTATATTTTAAGTGCAAGTTTGTGCATTAAATTAAGTTTAGCTTGAAAATGAGAAGCTTCTTCAGTTGCAATCTGTAAGCTCCATGTTAGCAGCCAAACTAGGAGTATAAAAGTAGTAAGGGTAGAGCATAATTTGGTATAAATAAAGCTCTAAGTCTGGAGCTAAGAAGTGAGTTAATAAGGAATGTAGTTTGTAAATAAACTTGTTAGCTTTAACTTAAAGATTTACATACTCTACGTTTTTTTTAAAGCTTTATCATATAGTTTTATACGCAATCTTGAATCATAAATCAGTTTTAATCACTAAGTTAAAGATAACGCAGGAACAATAAAGCTCTAAGGTTGAATTGGGTGAAATAAAGGTCCGGATCCAGAGCTTTGTATGCTCTTAGCATTGCTGCAGATCTTTATACATACATAATCATAAAGCTTTATATATTCTATATTCCGCTTTCATCTGAAAGCTCTACGATCGCAACTATACTGGGAGTATTAAAGCTCTAAGCTAAAGCTAAACTTTAAGGTTGCTAATAAACTTGAAATTAAACAAAGCTCTCTGTTTGAAGAAATACTTGGAATAAAAAGTTTTAAGACTGCTAATTAAATGAGAGCATATAAAGCTTTAAGGTCGTAGTCAAACTGAGGGGAATTACCACTTTTCTTGAGCTTTTGAGTATATATAGACCTCTGATCGCAGCTAAATTATAGCAATAAAAGCTTTAAGATTTGCTAGTAAACTGGAAATTCCGCAAAGCTTTCAGATTGAAGCAAAACTGGGAATATAATACTTTATGACTGCTAATGAAGTGAGAGCAAATCAAGCTTTAAGACCGTAGTCAAATCGAGGGGATATACAGCTTACCGCTAAATTTTAGTATAAAAGCTCTAAGATTTCTACTAAACAGGAATAATAAAAAAGCTTTATGTATACAGCTAAAAAGGCAGTAAAAAAGATGGCTACAAGATGGGAAATTTAGGTTGGCAGTTAAACTAGGATTACTTTTGATTCAAAGCTTTTCTAAAATTAAAGCTTCACTAATATTTTAAATAATTTAAATTTGTTTTTATCTAAATATTCTACTTTCTAATACCTTAAAGATACTTAACACTAGTTTGTCGTCTAATCATAAAAATTATAGTTTTTTGCGAATAATTTTCACCATCAAAGGTACGCCAATAGGAGCCTTCATACAGCTTGGTATATTTACCACGCAAATAAAGACCAGTAGGATTGCTGAAAGCACATTAAGTATTATTTTTACTGAAAATAGAAAGCAAATAAATATAAACTTACGCTTTGGCGCAGTCTTTAAACCAAAATCCTCCCTTACGAGCGGCCGCACAATTTGTATCCTTCAACTGATCATTATCAAAGTCATGTGTACTGAACTGACAGCCTAATTGATTAAACATACTATCACCTGCCGTACCCCAATAGCGTCCCAATGATTTCAAGCGATAATTCTCACTAACATTGCCCACAACGAAATTATCATAACGAGCAAAGACCTGACGTCCTTCAAAATTTTCCATATAGATATTTAGCTCTTGGGGGCCATTGTAATTGGTGAGCGCATGTAAATGCTCCAAACCCAGCCAATACTCACCGCCCACATTACCAAATCCCTTAACATAGTCCGACCAAGGACGATTAAAATTCTCGGAACCATCAACACGTTTTAATATATACAACCAATCGCCCTCGAAATTGTCTTTATCACAGAATGCTTGAAATGTTTGATCGCTATAACGTTTAACGGTAATATTATAGATACCACTAGATCGGGTGCATTTGGTGGCTTCGGCGCAACTACTGGGTTGTTTGGCGGTAGCACAATGTTTGGGCATATCATCATAGCGTATGTCAAATATAGGTTTTGCTATATGGGGTACGGGATCAAGAGGTTTTTCTGTAGTCGGATTTTGAGCAATAGATTCTAAATGTCTGCAAGATATATAAAGATTTTATTAGAATTAAAAGTTTTGTTAGCACTTATTACTCACCTGTCTGTTATGATATCCAGTCTAGCATTTAAAATTTCCACCGATTTTTTAACATTTTCAATATGACCAAAGAAATATTTATAGAATTCTTCTAAATCACAAGATTCTGCACTCTTAAAATAACGGTATTTAAAAAATTACATATAAATAATTTTATATATAAATACGATTTTATTATCTCTTACCCCCGGTTGATAAAAAATAGTTTGGACTATTAAAAATATAAAATATTTTATAAACATTTTGTTTTAAATTTCAGTACTAAATACTTTCAGTGTTTAAACTTAAATGCGAAAAAAATTTAAGTTGTTGAATCTTAAGGCAGCAAAATATTGTTTAATTCCCAAGGGGATTTCCAAACATTATCAGCAATTCAAAACTTAAATATAAGTTTGTTCCCCCAAAAGGTCAACAACTGGTCGTTTTACTAATTATTATCAAATAAAATTCTTCTCATAATAAATCTTTAAAACGGCCTTCACTTGAGTGCTGTTCACTACTCGAAAACTGATAATGTTTCTTTTTTAAATATTTCATGTAATTTCAGGGGAACTACCATTTTTTTCTAAAGCTTTTGCTGAATATGAAAAAACTTGTCTTATCAGTAGCAAATTAAAAGCAGAAAATATGTAGTATGTGTCAAACTGTTAAGTACTTTTGGATTCACAGACTCCTATACAACGGTATCCTACACAAAGTATATATAAGCTCCAAGAGTAAAGCTTAATTGTATATAAAGCTTTAAAATTTTCTCAAGCACAATTCAAGTTATATAATTAAAGCATTAATAAATAAAAAGATTAAGGCTTATCCAGGAGTGTTTAAAGTCTTAATATTAAAGCTTAAGCTATGGAATGCAAAGCTCTTAATATGCACATTAAGAGCTTTTAAATGAAGATCTACCATAAAGATATACTAGGACTATAAAAAGCTCTAAGAATTAAGACTATTTAGTTGTGAGTACGATACAGCTAAACTGGGACTATATAATGCTTTAAATTTGGAGCCAAAATGTGTTTATTAAAAGCTTAGAGAGTACTGCCTATTTGAGGGTATATACATCTCTGAGATTAAAGACTCAGTTTTAGTAAAAATGCTCTATGATTTCCGACATTAAGCCGAGCTCTAAAATTAAAGATTAACTAGGTATACTCCCAGAAATTGAGAATAAAAAACTGGAGTAATTAAAGTCGTAATATTAAAGCTTAATTGGGGTAATGTACAACTCTGAGTATGAATATTAACGGCGTTTAAATCAAGACCTACGATGCAGTTAAACGTGAACTATGTATATAAAGCTTTATGATTAAAATAACATGGATTCATTAAAAGCTTAAAGACTGTTTTTGAGTACAAAAGCTCTATGATTAAAACTAAACCGAGAATATAAAAAGCTCTAAAATTAAAGCTTTAATAAGAGTTTATAATGCTCAAAGATTGAAACTATCTGAGGGTATAAAAACTGGCGTAATTAAAGTCTTAATATTAGAGATTAATGATGTAATGTAAAGTTCTAAGTTTTGGCTCTAAGATTAAATACTAATTATGAGTACAAAAGATCTAAAATGAAAGTTTAACTGGCATTATATAATATGATCAATGAAAGCAAATTTGGGAGTATATAAAGCTCTAGGAACTGAGCACGTTTAAAGCTCTAAAATTAAAGGTTTCTTAAACGAAGATTCAAGTTTATAATGCAGCATGTAAAGCTCTCTAAGTTGAGATCTAAGTGGGATTCGTAAAACTACGATTGCAGCTAAACTTGAAAATCTTTAAAACTTAAGCTTAAATTAGTTTATGAAGAACTTTGAGAAAACTAGAAGCTCAATTTCAAACTAATTGGAAAATCATTAAAACTAAAGCTTAAATAGGTTGACGTGAAGCTTTGAGATAACTGCTCAATTTCAGACTAATAGAGAATACAAAAAGCATTTTAAATAACAGCACTCCAAGATTAGAGCTTAAATGGGATTATGAAAACTTCTTACATAATATTATAACATATAAGGGAGCATAAATAGCTCTAAGTTTGAAGCTAAACAAACATATTGAGACTATATTAAGCTTCAAAATTAAGTTTAAGCTGATTGTATTTAAAGCTTTCATATTACTGCCTTACCGAAAATATACATATCACTCTAAAATAGCAAACTGATGGTATCTACAAAAAGCTTTATGATTATGAAAGTTCCAAGATTAATGATTGAAAAGCTTAAAGGTGTTTAAATACTGACTTTAAAGCTTTGCTGTGAGTAAAATTTACTAAATTAAATTAAAAATAACCAAAACTAGGAGTAAATAAAGCTTTAACATTAAAGCTTAACTGGAATTAAAAAAGTTGAAAGAAAAAGCCCAAACAAGAGACTTATAATAATCTCCACTCTCTATAAAGTTCTCATTTTATAGAGCAAATTGAATTTATAAAACTTTAAGCGTTCAGCTAAGCTTGCAAATAAAGTATAAAAAGCTCTAAGATTTTAACTAAAATTGAAGAGAAAAAATCTATAATATTAAAGCTAAACTAAGAGTATAAAACTGCTTCATGTTAAATGTATATAGAGCTATTTTTACTGCAGCTAAGTCTGAGCTTAAAAGCTCTTTGATCAGCGACATAAACTCGGGGTTTTTAAGACATTAAGTTCAAACTACTAGATTGTGAGTATTTAAAGCTATATTGGAGACTTACTTTGCATCAAAGCTTTTAAGCTTATATAACTCTGTTGTAAAAAACAAAATACTTTTTCTCTTGAAGTACCTAAGGTTTTTATTGTTGAAAGTTAATAATTACTTAAATTTATTGTTCCAATTTTATGTCTTTCTTCCGACGAATCATGAATATAAAAGTTTTTACCGAATATAAAAGTTTACCAGGTGCAGTCCAAAAACAACCATTATAATCACTAGTATAATTTGCACGCAAATACTGACCAGTAGGATTTCTAAAAAGCACACAAAGCTTTATGAACTTATACTCTTTCTAAATAAGTATGTATGAAAACTTCTCGATAACTTACGCATCCGAACAATCTGCATACCAATATCCTCCCTTACGATATTTAGCACATTCTGTGGGCCAAAGTTTAGCATCAATATCGTATGTGGTAAAAGCACGACCTAGCTGTCTTGACAAACTATCACCAGCTGCCCCAGAATAGCGTCCCAATGATTTTAATTTATATCTCTCTGTGACATTTCCTATAACGAAATTATCATAACGTGCAAATTTTGCGGTTCCATCAAAATTTTCTATATGCACATTTAGCTCCTGGGGGCCATAGTAGTTTGTTAGGGCATAGAGTTTATCCAAGCCGAGCCAAAATTCTCCCGCTACATTACCAAACCCTTGAACATAATCTGTCCAAGGACGGTTGAAATTTTCGGTACCATCATTGCGTGTTAAAATATATAACCAATCGCCTTCATAACTATCGTAATCACAATAAACGGTAAATGTTTTATTACTAAAGCGATAATCGGTTATATTATAGATGCCACTAGTACGGGTGCATTTAGTGGCTTCGGCACAAGTGCTAGGTTGGGTAATTGCGATACAATCTTTGGGTAGGGAATCTAAACGTATATCAAATATCGATGTGGACAATTTCTGAGGCTTTTCTATTGTCTCCTTTTCAAAAGTGGTCCTATAAACAAAAATATAAGTTTAAGTTATCATGATTTTTTATCTAAATTTAAATACTAACCTGTCACTTAACATATCCAAACGGCTGTTTACAATTTCTAAAGATCTTTTTATATTTTCAATTTGTCCAAATAGGTGTAGATGTACCATATCCTCATCAAAGTTTTCACAATTCTATAATGACAATCTTGGTCAACTTATTGGTGTATAAAAGTGAATAAACATTTTGAGTAAATATTACCCGTTTAGAAAATAATATAAAAATGTTGAATAATAAGAAAATTAAATATTTAAAAAACATTTTCGGCACACTAAAGTAGTTCATTTGAACAGAGTCAAGTATGAAATGATAAAAATTTTGAGAACTCTGATATGTGTATACATTACAAATGGCAAGACAGAGTTTCTGCGACATAAAGAAATGGTTCCAATTAAACGATCTGTACTAACTAGTTCAAACCTCATTCAGTTCTAGTTCTATTCTAGTTTTGTTCTAGTTCAATTCCACTTCTGTTCTAGTTTTGTTGTAGTTCTGTTTTAGTTCTATTCTAGTTCTGTTCTAGTTCTGTTGCAGTTCTATTCTGGTTCTGTTCTAGTTCTGTTGTAGTTCTACTCCAGTTCCGTTCTAGTTCTGTTCTAGTTCTGTTCTGGTTCTGTTCTAGTTCTGTTCTGGTTCTGTTCTAGTTCTGTTCTAGTTCTGTTCTAGTTTTGTTCTAGTTTTGTTCTAGTTTTGTTCTAGTTCTGTTCTAGTTCTGTTCTGTTCTGTTCTGTTCTAGTTCTGTTCTGTTCTGTTCTAGTTCTGGTTGTGTTCTAGTTTTGTTCTGTTCTGTTCTAGTTCTGTTCTAGTTCTGTTCTAGTTCTGTTCTAGTTCTGTTCTAGTTCTGTTCTAGTTCTGTTCTAGTTCTGTTCTAGTTCTGTTCTAGTTCAGTTCTAGTTCTGTTCTAGTTCTGTTCTAGTTCTGTTCTAGTTCCGTACTAGTTCTGTTCTAGTTCTGTTCTAGTTCTGTTCTCGTTCTGTTCTATTTCTGTTCTAGGTCTGATTTAGTTCTGTTCTAGTTCTGTTCTAGTTCTGTTCTAGTTCTGTTCTAGTTCTGTTCTAGTTCTGTTCTAGTTCTGTTCTAGTTCTGTTCTAGTTCTGTTCTAGTTCTGTTCTAGTTCTGTTCTAGTTCTGTTCTAGTTCTGTTCTAGTTCTGTTCTAGTTCTGTTCTAGTTCTGTTCTAGTTCTGTTCTAGTTCTGTTCTAGTTCTGTTCTAGTTCTGTTCTAGTTCTGTTCTAGTTCTGTTCTAGTTCTGTTCTAGCTCTGTTCTAGTTCTATTCTAGTTCTGTTCTAGTTCTGTTCTAGTTCTGTTCTAGTTCTGTTCTAGTTCTATTCTAGTTCTGTTCTAGTTCTGTTCTAGTTCTGTTCTAGTTCTGTTCTAGTTCTGTTCTAGTTCTGTTCTAGTTCTGTTCTAGTTCTGTTCTAGTTCTGTTCTGTTCTAGTTCTGTTCTAGTTCTGTTCTAGTTCTGTTCTAGTTCTGTTCTAGTTCCGTTCTAGTTCCGTTCTAGTTCTGTTCTAGTTCTGTTCTAGTTCTGTTCTAATTCAGTTCTAATTCAGTTCTAATTCTGTTCTAGTTCTGTTCTAGTTCTGTTCTAGTTCTCTTCTAGTTCTGTTCTAGTTCTGTTGTAGTTCTGTTCTAGTTCTGTTCTAGTTCTGTTCTAGTTCTGTTCTAGTTCTGTTCTAGTTCTGTTCTAGTTCTGGTTGTGTTCTAGATTTGTTCTAGTTCTGTTCTAGTTCTGTTCTAGTTATGTTCTAGTTCTGTTCTAGTTCTGGTTGTGTTCTAGATTTGTTCTAGTTCTGTTCTAGTTCTGTTCTAGTTCTGTTCTAGTTATGTTCTAGTTCTGTTCTAGTTCTGTTCTAATGCTGTTCTAATTATGTTCTAGTTCTTTCCTAATCATCTTCTAGTTCTATTTCAATTCTGTTCTACTTCAGCATAAAAAACAGTTCGGAAACTCTGCTATTTTAATGGGCACTTCCTTTTCTTTCATGAAACACTTGCACAAGGTCGAATACAATCAGTTCAAATATTTTATATTTAAATTATTTATAGTTTTAAAAATTAAAGAAAATAAAAATAAATTTTTGTTTTTTTTCTTATTATATATGATTAGAAATGCTTCATAAATTCAAAAGAAAATACTTCTTTGCAATTAAATAATTCAATTATGAACTTTTAAACAGTTTAAAAACGACACAGATTCGGAATTATTGAGCTTAAAATTTACTTAAAAATATTGCAAATACATATTATTTTCTGAATTAAATTTTTTAATAAAACAAAATGTTTTTAAGAAGTTTCTTAATGCTTTTTTTAAACTTTTTGATTTTATTGGCAAATGGGGTAACGGTTATTAAGAATTTTTACTAGGTCCATATAAGAGATTTTTCTCTTATATTGAAAATGTAAAAAAATCATTGGAAATTTTAAACACCCGATTGGATGTATTACAAGACAGGCCCTTCCCTAAGATGACAAAAAATGAGGAAGTAAAAGAGCTTCAAAAATTGATCAACTCCATATTTGATATAGGCTTTGATACCCTGCCCGCACACTGTGCTTCTAATTCTCCACCCAGCTTTTGTGCCGATCGCTACAGCAATCGGACATTTACCGTTTATTGTGATTACGATAACTATGAAGGTGATTGGCTATATATTTTAAGACGCCAAGATGGTGCCGAGAACTTTAACCGACCCTGGAATGATTACGTTCGAGGTTTCGGAAATGTGGCTGGTGAATACTGGCTTGGCTTATAGACGCTATATGGCCTAACAAATTTCTATGGTCCACAGGAATTAATGGTTCATGTGGAAAATTTTGAAGGAATAAAACAATTTGCTCGTTATAGTAACTTTGCTATAGGAAATGCCAAGGAGAATTATAAAATCAAATCTCTGGGTCAATATTCCGGCACAGCTGGTGATAGTTTATTTACTCTTGTAGGTAAAAATTTTTCCACATATGACCATGATATAGATGATTATAATGATAATTGTGCTGTTATTAGTAATGGTGGCTTCTGGTATAAAAGTTGTGCTCAAGCGTAAGTTTTTAAACGATTTCTTATTTAAGTTTAGAATTATAAAATGTATAATTTTAGCAATCCTACTGGCAGTTACCTGCGAGGTTTAAACTCTGCCAGGACAGACAATCTTAAATGGAAAACTTTTGGTGGTGATTTCTATTCGCATAAAACTATTACATTCATGATTCGTCGCCAGAGTTCAGTAAAATTGGAATAATTAATGGAAAATAAATTGATATTTATTAATGTTTAATCAATTGTTAAGTAATTGTGAATACGGTAGGCTCTTTTTTAATTGACCAACCTAATACTAGACTATATTCTTCACTATAGACTAGACTATAGAATAGATTATTGAATAGGCTATAGACCAAACATTGAATAAACTATATCCTTGAACATAGACTAGACCATAGACTGGACTATTGGCTAGTCTATTGGCTAGATTATAGACTAGACTATATACTAGACTATAGACTTGACTGCAGAATAGACAATAGACCAAACTTTGACTAAACTATAGAATAGAATATAGACTATAGACTAAACTATAGGCTAGATTATAGACTAGACTATAGACTAGACTATATACTAGACTATAGACTATACTATAGACTAGACTATAGACTAGACTATAAACTAGACTATAAACTAGACTATAGACTAGACTATAGACTAGACTATAGACTAGACTATAGACTAGACTATAGAATAGACTATAGACTTGACTATAGACTTGACTATAGACTTGACTATAGACTAGACTATAAACTAGACTATAGAATAAACTATAGACTAGACTATAGACATGACTATAGAATAGACTATAGACTAGACTTTAGACTAGACTATAGACTAGAATATAGACTAGATTATGGACTAGACTAGACTAGACTATAGACTATAGACTAGACTATAGACTAGACTATATACTAGACTATATACTAGACTATAGACTAGACTATAGACTAGACTATAGACTAGACTATAGACTAGACTATAAACTAGACTATAGACTAGACTATAGACTAGACTATAGACTAGACTATAGACTAGACTATAGACTAGACTATAGACTAGACTATAGACTAGACTATAGACTAGACTATAGACTAGACTATAGACTAGACTATAGACTAGACTATAGACTAGACTATAGACTATAGACTAGACTATAGACTAGACTATAGACTAGACTATAGACTAGACTAAGGACTAGAATATAGTCTAGACTATAGACTAGATTTTAGATTAGTCCATAGACTAGACTATACTATACACTAGACTATAGACTATAATATAGACAATGCTATAGACTAGCCTATAGACTAGACTATAGACTAGAATATAGACTAGACTATAGACTAGACTATAGACTAGACTATAGACTAGACTATAGACTAGACTATAGACTAGACTATAGACTAGACTATAGACTAGACTATAGACTAGACTATAGACTAGATTATAGACTAGACTATATACTAGACTATAGACTAGACCATAGACTAGACTATAGACTAGACTATAGACTAGACTATGTACTAGTCTATAGACTAGACTATAGACTAGACTATAGACTAGACTATAGACTAGACTATAGACTAGACTATAGACTAGACTATAGACTAGACTATAGACTAGACTATAGACTAGACTATAGACTAGACTATAGACTAGACTATAGACTAGACTATAGACTAGACTATAGACTAGACTATAGACTAGACTATAGACTAGACTATAGACTAGACTATAGACTAGACTATAGACTAGACTATAGACTAGACTATATACTAGACTATAGACTAGACTATAGACTAGACTATAGACTAGACTATAGACTAGACTATATACTAGACTATATACTAGACTATAGACTAGACTATAGACTAGACTATAGACTAGACTATAGACTAGACTATAAACTAGACTATAGACTAGACTATAGACTAGACTATAGACTAGACTATAGACTAGACTATAGACTAGACTATAGACTAGACTATAGACTAGACTATAGACTAGACTATAGACTAGACTATAGACTAGACTATAGACTAGACTATAGACTAACTATAGACTAGACTATAGACTAGACTATAGACTAGACTATAGCTAGACTATAGAACGATAAGACTAGACTATAGACTAGACTATAGACTAGACTATAGACTAGACTATAGACTAGACTATAGACTAGACTAAGGACTAGAATATAGTCTAGACTATAGACTAGATTTTAGATTAGTCCATAGACTAGACTATAC